AAATAAATCATTAAAAATGTAGTATTTATTTAAAGTACGTAATCAATCATCGAGGTACAATTTCTCTTATAAAACTCAAACAAATAAGTAATTAAAGGTTTTGGAAACTGAATTTCGTGCAAAGCTCGAAAAAAACTGAAAAAGATTTGATTCCTGAACTATCTATAATATGTACCTACAAATGTGTACGGTAACCGCGGTAGCCCAGTCCAACTTGCACTTGTCCGGCTTTTTTTAATCCATAATTAAGTCCCACATTTGTATAAATGCACACAAGGATGAGTTGTGTCTATTATACTACTGCATATTTGTCGAAGCTGGGTAAATCTGTTAATCTAAATAGTTTATTTTTACTACAGTGCGATGATGAATTTTTATACTTTAGAAAGCCAAAAAAATACAGTTTCTGATTGCCAATCAGCACAAAGCTTCTATTAGATCTGTGTCTTAATTGTCTATAATAAGGTCAACTTTCACTGCATCTTCGAAAAATAGCACTTGGGTTAATGGGGCAAATTTTTTGTGTGTCGTCTTCTCCTCTACTTTATAGAAAATACTTAGAAAAAACAAGTCAACACTAGGTATAGAGTATAAGGGAATTCTAGGATTCTAACATTCTAGAATGGTGGGATTCCCTGTATCAGATAAACATAGTCATCATCATCCTATAAACGATTAATATAAGTTGTACCCTCAATCTTCAAATTTAATTACAAGGCAAACATACACTTGTTTATACAAAGTAAATAAACGAAATAAATTTATTTACTTCAACCTGATTATATTTTTGCTTACGAGGACGATGCCCAAACCGGTTACTGCGCGTACAGCTTGTACATAGTGAAGTGATCATATCTGTAAAAAAATATGTAAATGTGTTAAAACAAATAAAATACCTATCTGTATTTTTAACCGACTTAAAAAACACAAAAAAAAGATTCTCAATTAGACTGTATTTTTTTTGTATGTTTGTTACGGTCAATTGTTGAGCGATATTTAAAATTATTTTTGTAATCGATCTAGTTGGTATTCATTAAGTAACAAAATCTGCGATGTTTCATAAGAATTATATTGAATTCTTGATTCTTTATTGTGCTGTCATAAAGCTAACATAGACCAGTATTACTTATTGTGCATCGGGCTTGGTACCGACTTCAAACAGACTAGAAGGTATCTATTGCTATTATGATGTTACCTGTAATATTGAGAGTCGAACTTATTTTAGTTTTTCCACTCAGATTTGTAGTTATTTTTATTGCTCTTAATACTAATAAATTGTTTGAAATCGGTTCAACTTAAAAAAAGGATTTATATTAATAATAAATGTCTCCATCACTATCATAGCCATGAGACCTCTCCTAACGATTTCCATCAGACATCTTGGTAAGAAATTTAAGATTTAAATCCACAACTTTCACAAAATATTTTATTTTTAATATTAATTTGACAAAACTCGGTTAATATCCCCTTATTCTCGATAGTTCATCAATGATTGTTAGACCTCTAGAGTTCTCTTGGACACTTAACACGGGACGAAATTATCACCTTGTAACATACTATAGTTGTTTACTATAAATAGACCGGTAACGTATCATTACCTATTTAAATATATTATGTTTTAACTATGGCTATAATATATAAATAAAAATTAGGTAATAAAATACATATATAAGACTGTAATAATACTCCGCGTTTTGGATAGAAATACATATAAGGTCTGTCATACTATCGTCACAAATTCAAAAATTATAAAATATTTTTATAACAGATAATAATTCCATCTACTACATCAACTACATCACAAAAAAACAGTGGAGATTCAAACAATATATAGACTTACATTAATTTATCTCACAAAGCATCATAATGCTCAACTACGTCCTAATCCAAAACACAATTTTGTTTTCTATAATGTATTAAAATGTCATAGTATATAAATTAATTTTAAATAAAACGTTACATTTATATTTTAAATTTGCAAAATATTATTTTAAATATATTTTTCAGTCACACTTACAATTAATATTAATAACAACTGCCCACATTTCACATACGCGGCCGTATGCCGTATCTGATCGCAAACTAGACAGAGCCTGTGATATGGTAACCAAACTCCTGATAAACATACTTAAATATTTCTAAATTACACCAGGACACGGAACAAATGATCGTGCTATTATTTGTTCTGAGTGGGAGTCGAATCCACGACCGCTAGCTTAGCAGTTACTAACCACTAGACCTGTTGGTCCGCTGTGTGTCTTAACCCACAAAAACCGAAAGCAAGACAAACTGCGGCAATGGTAGATTTTATTCAGTTGCAATTTTTTTCTGTTAAAATTTACACACACTTTGAACACCATGCAAAGTAAATTCTTTATCTACGAGTAGTTTAGTTAGTAATTAGTAGTTTGTATATAGTATAATCGTGATCACAATCTATATGTCATAAATCTGAAATTCACATGTACAAGTACTTGTTATATATCCGAACGTGCAAAGTCCAAGAACATATTTTATATGTATTATGTATTTCACAAAAATATAAGTCAGACCAATACTAATAAGTGTTTATATCAGATGTATTCGTAGTTAATAAAATCGGTGCAGGTCCACCAGACAATCGTGAAAGAGGAGAAAGAGGATCAGGGTTACTAGTTTGACTCAGGGGAGCCAGCAATATTGTTTTTTTCTTTATTTTTATGAAGACAACTGCCGCATTAGGAATATATTTTGTCGCAGGGGACTTTACAAACATACATCAAACGGACACAAAGAACATCCAAACCCAGAGCTACAATTTATAGATCACACATTGTGTTGCCCCAGTTGGGATCGTACCCATAACACTCCGCGCAAAAGGAAGCGGGGTGACCGCTTAAACCACCGAGCCATCCTTGCAGTCATATGGTTTACATGTTGCGGTATTGTTAAGTATAAGTTCTAAAAACCTGGTAAAAAAGTGTTATTGAAGAACTGTAAGTAATATATAATGTGAAAAAATATTTGAAACCAGGGATTCCCAAACTATTTTGGGCAAGAGACCACTTTTCTAAAATAATCTGATACCTAAGACCCCTCCTCAGCCAAATTACTGCAAGCTTATCGACTTTTTGAGTTTTTTAAAAGTACGACACTGATACTTCCTACTAAAATATATGTGATTCTTATAAGATGTTACTCCACGTAACACAACTAATACAGAATCTTGAAAGTTTCAAATGAGAACTTGTGTTAATTAATAGGGGTCGATTTTTAGACCCCCAAAAACAGTTTTCGGTTATATCGACCCCTGGTAAACCGATTTCGACCCCAAGGGGTCGATATCGACCACTTTGGGAATCCCTATTTTAACATTCATTTATGATAAATAATATAATATAAGAGTATTCCATACGTACCTACATGTCAAATTGGCGATCTCTTGAGGCGTATCAATTTATTTTCTCTTATGACAATTTCCCGGCAGTATTACAAGATGATAAATTACAACAGGCTTGTATGTGGAGTTAATTTATTACGTTATTGATTGGTTTCCTATGATACAGTTCATTTCATACGTAATCTGATGTCCGTAATTGATGATTATTCAACATGCCATACAAAGTTTCTTTATCTATTAATGTATACTTAGAATCCATCGGGGGTAATAAAATAGCTTGAACTGCAAGAACTTGCAAGCAATGCACTAAAATAATAAAAATAAATTTGTGACCCGCGTCTGCGATGCGGCGAGGCGCCAGGTCTACTGGTGGTCCGACCGGTCCTGGCGACCGCGCGCCGCCAGTGGTCCAGGTTCCGCAGTTCCGAGTTGCTGGAGACACTGGAGCGGGATCTGTGGGGATGCCCTTACCGTATGGTTCGGGGCAAGATGCGGTGTCTTCAGCCAGAGCTGCTTGAGGGGGTCCTCGGCTCCCTGTTCCCATCGCGAGTGGTGGAGTATACCCCACCACAGATTGCTCCAACGCTCGGTGCGCCTAACGTGGATGACGGCGACGTACCTGAGGTCACTTGGGCAGAACGGGTGGCAGTGCTGCGGCTTAAAGCCAAAAACACCACCCTGGGACCTGATGGAATCCCAGGCCGAGCGTGGGTCCTGGCCTTAGAGACGTGGCTCTCGAACCCTGACTGAGAAGGTTATTCAGCGCATGCCTCGAGCGGGGCCAGTTGCCGTAATTGTGGAAACCGAGGAAACTGGTCGTCATCCGAAAGGGGAGGGGGGGGGGGACTCACCATCCGCCTACCGCCCCATAGTGTTGCTTGACGAGGTGAGCAAGCTCTTCGAAATAGTGGTTGCAAGGCGCCGTTTGGACATCGCCCGATACGATTTCCGCACAGAAAACCAAAAAAAAGGTGTCTGGCGCTACTTGTTAGGACGTTAAACATTGTATAGCACTAGCGATAGAGAGGACGATGACGGAATGAACTTAATATTATGCACAGTGAATGCAAGTGCGGTGACCTTGCGTTTAAGGAAGTAAACCTTATTTTTCTTAGTATACACTCAATGTTACTTACGTTAAGGCTTTATGGGTTTAATTTCATGAGTTACAGCGTGATATTCATCAGTCTAAAGTATATAAGGCAAATCAATACCTAAATTTTTTCATAAGTTAATTTGTAACTGTTTAAAATTTCAGAAATGCTATTTGTTTATTAATGTGTCATGTTTATGATGGGTCATTATAAACTTAATATACCTGCAAAATTCATGTTAATTGTTTAATCTATTTTGTTTTATTATTGAGACACGGAAGCTAATATGTGAAAAAAAATTACATGAATTTTACGTTCGTTGTCGTGATAAAACCAGATCAAAAGATAAAAGCATTTATACACTAAGAACAAAATAGTACTATAAATCAAACAAAAATATACTAACCAGAGATAAAACGTTTTCAAACACGCTTATATACTTTTTATTGTAATTCTATTACTAGTTACGTTGAAGAGATAATAGAAACACTTACGAAGCAATTTTTTTTAAACAGTGACGATACTAAATGGCTCCAAATGCAGACAGACGACAAGTCAGCTTCCCTCAGCTGTCATATCCAGTGCTCAGAGATGCAATACCGAAAACGGCACAATACTGGCTTAAGGGAAAACGCATGCAAGATGGTGCTGAAGGGCTCTGGAGAATACACGACAACCTATATGACTTAACTGATTTCAAATCTACACATCCTGGGGGAGAAGAGTGGCTTACTGTTAGTAGGGTAAGTGACTGACATCAATTACTACTACGTTTTTAATACGGAGGTAAGTATGTGTGTTATGCTTTCACTTCTAATCATTATAAAGATCATGCTAAAAGAAGTTATTCAGAAATGCTTTTTTTTTATTTTTGACAATTGTAACGATCAATCAGTTATTTTTGGATAGACTTCCTAAGGACTAATTTCGTAATTTATAGAATTATATTTTAAATTTCTGCAGTTTTGAGAAAACATCGTTTTGCTTTGGCATATTTTTGAGCCAAATACTTATTAACCTTTGCTACCGATGCCCAACAAAAAATAAAATGACAAGTTTGACAATTGTCTATAACGCGTCACACGTTACGCTTTTATGTCTGTTATGTATATTATGCACTTATTGACAGTTTGTTTTGTCATAATTTTTTATGTTGTCTTTGAGAATAATATGAAGAATTTTGAGATTTCTGTAAATATAAAGATAAATTGATAGACTACGTTACATGTTAAGGCGAAAAGAGTTAACTTCTTCTGATTTATCTTATAAATAAACAAATTGTAATAATGTATTTAGTATTGCCATCCGCCAATAAAAATGTCTACTAACATAAAGTAACTTTTAGTTTTTCTTTTAAATGTAGGGTTTAAAAATTGTTTTCTAATTAATTTCCAGTTCCTAGTATTAGCTGCTATAATATCAGTGTAATTTAAGCCAGTATGGATTTTACTCGGAATAAAATACGTCCATACAAAAAGTGGACATTTCCTTTATAGGGTTGTCCGGATTGCAGGTATAATTATAGTCGTATTGCTATTGCTGCTTCAATGGGACAAAAACCGTACAAATATATCTATTTGTTAAATTTTAAAAAAAAGAAACTTAGCTGTCTATGATCCCTGCAGATCTTGATTCACAAAGATGTCATATTGAGGAAGTAAATCTAGGTTGAAATAAAGATGCAAAAAACTTTCTTGGGCACTAACAAAAAGATCACCGTAGAATTAAAACAATCAAAGAATACGAAAAAACAACAAAAACTCATTTATATGTCAAACTCACATAGACCAGATAGGCTTGAACCCAAATGGAGATTCTTTTATCGCGCCGTTTCGTCGTTTTATCGCAATGATATTAAATAATAAACCTCACACATCTCACACACGGCAGTCTGATCCCAAACTAGGCAGAGCCTGTACTATGATAACCAGACTGCTGATAAACATACTTATACTACACTATACTTATACTTATACATATTATACTTATATTTCTAAATACATACATATTATAGATAAAATACATCCAGACACAGAACAAACAATCTTGCTCATTTCACAAATATTTGTCCTGGGTGGAATTGAACCCACGACCTGCGGCTTAGCAGTCAGAGTCACTTACCATTAGACCAAGCCCGTCATGTAAATGCTTTGTAAAATAATAATTAATGACCAGTTTATGTTCTGACACTATGTTAAACATTTTCATATAAACGTACCACTTTTATAGAAAGTTTCTTCTATTTTACAATAAACAGTCCATCTTATTGTGAAACAATCTTTGTATCAAAGTTTAAAATTCTAAGATTTGCACTTGCAGACTCATCTTTGGCTTTGTAATATTAAATATATTAATATGCATAAATTTAAATATGCATAAGAATAAGTAAATTCAGGCCACCTCGTTCGAACCCAATCACCTCTGACTATATTTTTATATGGTTTACATGCGTGTAAAACAATATACATATTTTATCATTTAAAACAAATATTTAACATTTTCGAATCCTCTACACTCGCTCCTCTAAATTTCTCTAGAATGATCTCAAATGGTTGCTTTCTCTTATTTTAACACCATCAGTAGTCCTTATTTACACATGATTTTTTATTTAGAATTTCGTCATAATTATGTGCTGGGTGCAACACAAACAAATCTCACGTTACAGCGGAATTTTCCCACAAAAAAACTAAAATGACGTAGTTGCTATCGTCTTGAGACCAGTAGAAAACGTATAAAGTAGCAATTTACCTAATATGGATGTTAGCAATTAAATTATGTTCCGTAAATCGTTCATAAAATAAATAAATATGAGCATATTATTAATAATATGAATTAAAGTAAAAAAGCTTATATCATGGTAAGACTTGGTACCACAAAAGCTTTCACAGGGCATTATTTTCGTTAATTTTAAGCAATTAGGCAAAAATATTATGAAGGAACTATGTTTATGGCTGTCAATTTGTTATGAGTTCAATTTGCCCAGGAGCTATCTATCTCCTGGGCAAATAAACCTCATCAAAATAAATCACATAGCTAAATTAACTCAAGTCTAATTAGTAGCCAGCAACGATTGCCACAACTCATCATCTCCAAGTTGCCAAATTATAGTATTGTCATTCACAATTTACATAAATGCATGTATGCTTTTATGCCCATTGTCACAAAGATATTCACCTCCAAGATAGGCTACATAATCCGCATGAACTTCGGCTGTAGGTGCGGAATGCAGTCGCAATGACCAAAACCGGTCGGAAGGATCATCATAAAGATAAAGTTTCCTTTAGTTACGACGTCGCCGGTTGGAAGTGCGTCGTAAGTAAAGGAAAGTTTTTCAAATTATTTTGCTTTATTAAGTTACATACTTATTAGGTACTTGCAAGATGTTTAAACGTCAAAAGAATATTTTGCTTTTTTTATTTTTATTAATCTAATATAAAATAAGAATATGTCGTTGAATTTTTTTATATTCATTTTCTATATTTGAAGAATTCAGTTATTCGATAACCACTAACTCAAATTACTTTCTAAATTTATTCATTAGTAAAAATCTTATACACAATTAACATTACCTTTTCTGGTCAATGTTAATTTAATTTATGTATTAATGTTACAGCATTTTGTCAGAAAGCATATAATAAAATTAATATAGTAAAATTATGAAAGAAAACTAAGAAATGTAGTATCGTCACATCAACAGCCATTAATAGCCCAGTGCTGGACATAAGCATCTCTTTAGAAAGTAGGTAAGGTACTACTACTACTAGGTAATTATTAAGTGATCGTTATATAAATAATCACTTAATAATTAATTGATATGTAAAGGAAAATTCTTGAACATGGATTCCAAGTACGGATGATTATTACTTTGTCTTTAAAGGAAAATAAAACGTAAACAACCTCAATTTAAGAGGACTTCCTGATCATTTTTATAGTAACTTAATTGACTGCACGGATGGCGTATGGTTTAAGCGGTCGCCGCGCCGATTCCTACTACACCGAGTGTTGTGGTTTCAAACCCCACATGGGACGACACTTTGTGTGATCCACAAATTGTTGTTCTGAGTCTGGATGTTCTTTGTGTCCGTTTTTGTATGTTTGTAAAGTCCACCGCGACACAGGATATATTCCTAACGCAGGAGTTGTCTTTGAAAAAAAAACTATGCATAGTAGCATAAAAAATTAATTAATTAACTTTTAAAAAAGATCCTTAATCATCAACAGCCTTTCATAGTCCACTGCAGTACATAGGCCTCTCCTTAGAAAGAAGGTTTTGGTCTACCATACTACGCTGGCCAGACAAGTTTGTATAGAGTTTGTGTTAAGTTTTCCTTCTCTTTGCAGTGCTATTGTCCTGTGTAGTTTGCTTCATTACTCGGCTCTTACGACACCTACGGGACGGATAGGCGTGGTGACACTCCGGATTCTTAATCCGTCACCACACGGACTAAAAGTATAACCAACGTCAACGCACCTACATGATGATGAATTGGAATAAACTATATTCTTTATTCCTTAATTTTAAATTAATTTAGGTTTACTCTCCCAAATAAAAAAAAACCACTTGTAAACCACTGTGGTCTGGTGTAACAAACATAAAAAATACAACTGTATCAAAACCTCATCTTTTTTGCGAAGTCGGTTAAAAGTAACGAGTAACTAAGTTCTATAGACCAATACCAAAGTAGTGGTGGACCTGGTGGTGGTACTGGTCGATGTAGCCCCAATTTGTGATATTGCTCTTACAACGACCAACCTGCATTCGTTAGCGATTCAATGATCTCTCTCTCTATCTCTCGTTCCTCTCTCTCTCTCTCATTTTGGCCATTGCACGCGGTATCAAGGTGTCATTTTTCCTGAAGATTTGATGAAACCTGCATAGGGCAGGATGTTTAGCTGCCTACATTTGCTGTCTTGCCCATTGTGGAGGAGTACTACTCTACAAGCATGCTAACGTCACAATTGAAAAATAATTCTCAGAGGGAATATTCAATTTAATATATTATGTACATCCTCATTTATATGAGTATAATAATATATGCAGGTTTCTAGACACCGTCTTAGAGACAAGTCACTTTACTGATTACAATTGTATGATAACAGTGAAATGTGTCAAAATAGCAAATGATCGTACACAAGTGTAATTGGGATCTAAGGTGACAAGTTGACATTTCACCTACGAATAGGTATTAATCAGACATGTTTACATGATTTACAATATTATCATGAAACCGAAACTATTTCTTCAGTAAATCCTACAAAGATAGTGTGTGCCAAAATGTAGAACTACCCTAGACATAGTATGTATCTCGAGATTTGTAACAAGCTACTCTAAAAACTTAGAGAACAACTCTTTAAATTGTTTAGTGTACGCCTAAAGAAATAGCTAACTGAAAAATGCTTCTACGCTACTAAGAAATTTTAGAGTCTAGATATTTCAAAATATTTATTATCTTGTTATTCCACCTTTTGTCTTTATCATTAAATTATTGTATGTCCAACATCGGCTGATTGATGGTTCTATAATATTATGTAGGTTTATCATGTACCTGCAACAACTGTATATACTCAATCAAAACAATAAAAACAACTGTAACTATTTACTTTTTCAGGGTATTTGAGAATTACCGAGCCCAGTTCCAACAACAGCCAAGTCTATTTACAGATCCTAATCCTGACAAGTTTCAGCTATTGCTTCTACTTCCTAATTCACAAATATGAAAAATATTCTTTACTTCCATTGCCTTCCACAGCAGTCCTCACTACTTTTCTTTTCCAATCTACTCTTATTATTATACATTATTATTATGTCATTACTAGTGGTCCCACTAAATGATTTCCCCATTCCCATATTTGGAAGCAAAATAATAAGAACTTAGGTTAGCAGGTGTGCAGGTCTTTCTTTAATTTTTAAATAAATAATTATTTTCATTTTTTTATTATAATTTTGATCTCAGTGTTTATCGCCACCATCTGTTTCTGAAGCAAACAAGAGTGGCGATAATCATTTTTAAAAGTTCTTTCATTTGATATGTCTCTCGGTGTGGTTCTAAATATTTTGTTTTATTTTCTAATTGTAGACCACAGAGGTGCTATTGATATATCTAAATTAATTTACTTTGTTTTGTGTGTGGGTTAAAGGAATTGATTTGTATACCGATTAATAAGCGCTGATAGCCACTATTAGTATGTGTTACAAGAAATAGACTTGGACTATGCGGTGTGTCTTTTTAGTATAATTAGCCGGTAATCACCGACCATAATGTTTTGTGCAGTGATATATTCGAACGTGTAAGCGATACTGTAAATCGCAACCTACGACCTTTTTCTCGCGAACTCGCTATGCATTGAAGTGCCGGAGAGACAACTGATATTCGTACATATGTATATTCGTTAACGTTATATTTGTGCACTAAAAACTTAACGAATTGCGATTCAAATACATTATGTCAACTGTTAAAACTACAAGTATGTCACAATCTAAATGTACAACGGCTGAAAAGTCACCTTCTCCCTCATGGGGTTTGTTGTAGTCGAAAACTTACTGTGAATAAACAGGTAGGTAGGTATACCTAAAGTTTGCAGTTTAGCTATAATAACCATTTTTTGTTCAAATTTGTTAACTAAAATAAGGTTGAAAACAAAAAGTGATTATATCAGTATCATGTTATTAATTAATCCTCATATAAAAAAACCCAATTAGTAATTTAGGCTATATATTTAAGTGCATATTAGTTTTTGAATCGTTCAAATCGGCCATCAATTCCTTTTGGAGTTATGATGAGTAATAATGAAGTAAAAATTGTTGTAAAAGCCATTGCGGAACAATGAATATACGTCGTACATGCATCTTCTTTGCATAGTTTAAAATAAAGGCGCTTCCCGCCACTTTTACGCTTAGATCTTCCAAACTACGCAACTATACGATTTAAATGCGGTTTTCATCAATAGAGAGAGTGATTCACGAGGAAGGTTTATATATATATAATACATGCATATTATAGTGGAGAAAAGAAGAGAATTTTATAGATTTGTAATATGATGTCGCAAGAAACATGTTATTTTGAATGTGTGTGCGGCATAAACGATTTTAATATAATAAAGTTGAAGGGTTGAAGACAGTAATCTCGGGATCTATCTGTCTCATTCTGATTTTTTTTAATGTCTCTTTGTGTTGTATTCAAATGAATTTTTGTTGTCTTTTTTATCTTCCTAATAAAAGTTACATGCGATATTATAGATGAAATGATTATTATAATGAAAATGGTAAGCATATTAAATGTATGTCGTTTTTCGTCTGCCAATGTCTTTTAAGCGTTGAATTTTTTATTCCAGGGTACAGACATAACTGAACTTTTCGAAACACATCACCTAAAAGGGAAGGCAGAAACTTTGCTACCTAAATATTTCGTAAGAGCAGCTAAAACACCAAGGAATTATCCATTTTCTTTCAAAGAAGATGGTTTCTACAAGACTTTAAAACTGAAAGTGATGTCTGAAATGCAAAATGTGCCTAAAGATTTAAAAAAGAAAAGTGATTTTATTACGGATTCCTTACTTATAACTTTAATGATTCTAAGTCCTGCTAGCTGTTGGGCCTGGACAGAAAGTTTTATACTTGGATCTACCTTGATATTATTAAACTGTTTAGTTCTGAGTTCAGTAACCATTTGTGCCCATAACTACTTCCATCGTAGTGATAATTGGAGGATGTATATATTCAACTTAAGCGGGTTGTGTTATAGGTAAGTTTTCCTCAATTTTTTATTAATTTACATAAGTTTACGCCTTTCTAAGGGCTAAAATTCACAAGAATACTTCAACACCATCATCAACGGCCAATAATAGCCCACTGTTGGCCATAGGTCCCTCCTTAGAAAGAAGGTTTTGTCTTACTATACCACGCTGGTCACGCGTGTTGATATAGGGTTTGTTTCAAGTATTCCTTCTCGTTGCATTGCTGCTGTCTTGCGAAGTTTGGTCCCTTAGTCGACTTTTACGAGACGCACAGGACGAATAGGGATGGTGACACTCCATATTCTTAATCCGTCACCACATGGACAAGAATACTTTATTTCGTTACGAGAAGTTACCGTTCCTTATATTTCCACTGGCTTAATGGCGTTCATTACTCGCGGTCTTTTTTGGTTGATGTGTTATTGAAGTGATTTTGTGTCAAAAAACTCGTTCATCGTGGTCGTCAGACTTTGTAATAAGTGGTTTTGAGTTGGAACTCCACTCAGAGCAATATTCAGCTTATCTAAAGGGATTACAAAAAAGTGCAACAAATGTTACCAGTACCTATTTTTCAACACATCTTGTTTTGGCTTCCTAGAGTCGGTATCCTTACTTTTCTATCTCTCTTTATTGAGACACATTTAAATCCTAACTAACACTATACATTCGAAAGCAAGTTGTTTTTGTCTCGTTAAACCTTAAAAATATAAGTGCGCAGATTGATTCCCCTTAGATAACTCCGTACAGACCTAAAAGGTTATGGCTCAAAGACAGTTTATCAGCCAATTGTAATGCATTTCCTTATCAACTAACCTAAGATACTAATACTAATAAATTGTAAATATCTATAAATTCATTACTAATTGCCGTAAAGAGCTCATTTTTTATATCAACTAAGGCACCTTTGTTTTTAATTTTAAATAAAAAAATACAGTTTTAAGATTTACAATTAAATAAGGCAGATAACGAGAGGTAAAGGTCGCCTTGGTCTTGCGGTGACCTTACTTTAAATAGTGTTGACCTTAACAGGTAAGAATTTATGAAAAAAACATTCATGTAAATATATTCACTCTTTAAACACTCCTACATTACAATATTCAATACTTTTAGTACAAAGGTACAAAGAATTTGCGCATAAGCAAATGAGTTAGTAGATAGGTATGATATCAGATAGATATTTGTATATTTACACTTATATGGTTGACCAAAATGAGTTTATTATTTTCGCGTTACACAAAACACTCCAAAATTTATTTTATTTCCTTGAAGTAATAGGAATAACTCCCATATAACGGATATCTAGTTACGGTAAACAAATATTAATACGCGAAGATAATTCTTTGTACGCTTTTTATGTGAAACGCCGAAATGTGATATGTGGAATTTATAATGTATCACTAAAAACAATAATATATTGCGTTACAAAGTTTAAAGGAATCTACCGGAAAACGGCTGTATTAGGTTACCTTCCTCCAGTGTGTATGCTGATAAGTCATTGTACAAAAGTCTTCAATGATATTAAATTGATCATTTTTCTTAAAATTACAGTATAATAAACGTAGTATCACACAAAAGAAACCATTTTTTTTTAAGTTATAACAGCTAATCAAATAAAACAAAAAATGTTCTATGCTTACTTTAAATTGTGCGACTTACATATCAATAGCCTGGATTGTACAAGATAACCAAAGACTGCAAATATAACGCCAAACTTTGACTGAGAAACACGGATATTGCGGCCCATAAACCAACAGAACACATTCATTGATGAAAACTTTACCAAACAATATCGAAACTGCTTTATTAGAAACAGACAAACATTAGAAACATCGTAAGAGGCATTTCATGATATTTACTTTACTTTGGAGTAGTTATAAACTCAGACACGATAACCATATAAAGCCTAGGTATAAGCAATTCAATTGAGTTTTCAGAAACCTGGAGTAAAATTATGGAACCCTGCAAATAATTAGCGAAATATTATTAAATGTCTTTAATTTCGGAGCAAAATCCGATTTCGAGTTTATAACACATCCATAATCATCATCATCATCATCAACTGCCTATCGCAGTCCACTTCTGGACATGGGCCTCTCCCATTACACGCCACTTAGATCGACTTTGGGCTTCATAAGACATCCATACCAAAATAAAATTATACCTGCGCACACGTCTTTGCTATGGAGCCATGGATCATACGCAGATTTTTTCCTTCCTTCGTCAAACAGAGCTCAGTGTAAATTGTCACATTCCACGACTATGCAAGCTGCTAAATATGAGTAGTTATAGTGAACTTGTAGACATAAATGTTGACTCTAAGTGAGTTCAAGTTGCATAAAATAATTAATCCATAATTTATGCATTAACAATTCTCAGTCTTGCCTCAATTACCTCAACCTCCTATCATTATAATAATATATTACAAATCTATCCTATATAATATATAATAAATATTTCTGTTTTTTTGTTTTAATTTGTAGCAAAGTATTTGAATAACAGTAAATGGCTCATGTTATGCTTATCGGTAAGAAAACGTGACACAAGAACAATTAGTGAATTTAATTATATTTTTAATGTTACTAGTGTCACTAAATAACACGTATTGGAATGATCGAACGAGTAAACGACACAAATACTTATTAACAATCAAGTTTTAATATTGCGTTCATTACGCTCAAAATTTGAAATGTAAAAAAATGTTCTTACCGTGTCACCGTGGTCTCACTGTTTCTTCACGAGCATTGTGAACCCGAACCTTAGAAGAATGTAGAGTCACCAGTAGGATAGTTATCCACTACCAACAAGCAGTTTTAATGGTAAACAGAGGCGTATTCAAGGCTCAAATTTTCCCGATCATAATTTTAACTCCCATATGCTTTCACAAAAGGGGTAATAATAATTTCACATAAGGAGCTATGGGGGTCAACTGTATCAATTAGGCATTAAATGGCAAGATTGGGAGCTAAGATGAAAGAAAAAGATCCCTCTTATATATTTTAATACTTCGTTAATACATAAATGTGTCGTAGTAAACTGCTTTTATAACCGTAAGTGGAATAGGTACTATTAGTGATTCTATACCATAACTATTCTTTTTCTTCCTGTCTATCGAAATTTGATGATGATCTTGAAACTGTCTTTACGGTGGTCGAAAACGGTTTTAGATTTTCACATTTTGCATCAAGAAACGGTTATAGTGACGATGATGTAAATAATGTAGTTTGAGATATATTAATTTTTGAATTTTAGGCTAACTTTATCTTTAAAAAAACATAATTTTACTTATAAACATCGAGTAAAGTTTGCTCTGGTACTTACACACGTAATATTACTATGAGAATTAACAAAAAAAACTCATGAATTCCACCAGAAATAAATTGTTACCAATTAATCTGTCTAGTGATTTTCCACAGCAATTATAATCTTCTCCTCTTAGTTATTTTCGGTGGCGTGTTTCTAAATAGCTGATCTGTCGCTACAATCATTTTATTTTCTTTTCGTTAACCATAAACGAATTTATTAACCTAACAAATAAATGTTGCAATTTGATAAATGCTTATGGTTACTTGATGTAATATTAAAAGTAAGGAAGGGTATCTATTGTAATGGAGGGTTTCCAGAAGAACGAAAACTATAGAAAGAAACAGCTATTATAAAATAATCTTGTATCATTATATAAACGAACACTTTCACGTCGTTGAGGTTTCGAGGTGTAAAAAAATAATCTTATTGCATTTTTTCGTAGAGAAAGTAGACATGTCACAGTGTTGTAAAAAGATATTTATAATTATGTTTATACGGGTGTTAACCAATATTACCCTATATGTTGAGTTAGCTGTATGTGAGATATCTTTAGTAATCCTTTTTAACCATTTTTTAAGGCGTCAATTTTTAGGACATCAAATGAGGCCACTTATTTGATGTCCTACTGAGTAATAAATCGAAACTGAACTTAATGAATTCCGTGTGGTGACGGATTAAGAATACGGAGGGTAACCACCCCTATTCATCCCGTGGGTGTCGTAATAGTCGACTAAGGGAGGAAAATACGGCAGACAACAGCACTGTAAACTTGACACAAATCCTGAAACAACCCGTCTGGCCAGCATGGTTTAGTAGGCGAAAACCTCTTTTCTAAGGAGATCGGCCTATGTCCAAGAGAGGTCTGTTACAGACTGCTGATGGTGACTGATGAATAATGTAATTGCTAAGTCTTTGACACATGATTGCTTCGGTGGTCCTGTCAATATGGTCTGGTCTGCAAAATATTTGTTTATTAGTTTGGGTGTTTTCTATGTATAATATGTATGTATTTACAAATAAAAAGTATATAAGTATTCTATCAGTCAACCTAGGTTTGATAGTACAAGCTCTACTTAGTTTAAAACTAGATGGAGTTGTGTGTAAGATGTCCTAAAATATTATTATCATGATAATTAATTCATATAAAATGATCTCAATTCTAATTGTTCATTCCTTACAGTGATTGGCGCATTTCACATGCCATGTCGCATCACATGCATGCGAACACTGCGCACGACATAGAGCTCAGTATGCTGGAACCATTCCTACAATTCTTGCCATATAAGGACAAGCCTATCTGGGCTCAAATGGGAGCTTTCTACTATCCTGTCGTTTATTCAGTGACATTTCTAGGAGTAATGGTACATGAGTGAGTACTGTTTTTTTTACTGATTTAAATAAAAAACAGATATACATATGTAGACACGGATTTAATTGACTGCACGTATGTGTGACCCACAAATTGTTGTTCATAAAACAGACACAAAGAACACCCAGGTTCTTTGTGTCTGTTTTATGTATGTTTGTAAAGTCCCCTGTGACATAGAATATGTGTTTCTAAATCGGGAGTTGTATTTTAAAAGAAAAAAAAGAAGAAAATGTTGTACCTACTTACACGTTTATCTGTTATATTGATATTAGATACAAGTAGATCGCAACATCGGGTAAACAAAAAGGTAGCTTATAAATTGTATCGCAAAGTTCAGATTTACAAATTTATATACTACTAGCATCCGCCCGCAGATTTGCCTTTGATTTCAGAATTGTTTATATAGCATAAGATTTTTGCGACCTCTTCAACAATAATCATTATATTTAAATCAATTTACTTAAAACCATAACACACCATTTACATAAAACAAATACACCTAAACCTTCCTCAAAAGTTACACTATAGTTTTTGAGTTTATCGCGTTCATACAGACAGACGCGGAAGGGGGACTTAATTTTATAATATGTAAGGATTTTCTTTTGTTACGTCAATATGCATTCAAAGCACCTTGCGTGTTTGACGCATTATGTAGTTTAAATAAAGTGCATCATTTTACGACAAGAAAATATTTAAATCAAAATGTTTAATTAAAAACTTTTCATACACACAAGTTTAATATAAGCAACCACTCGGAACCAACTAAATAAAACTCATCACAAAAGTTAAATAACATGTAAAATACCTGATACTGAAACTGACATCTCATACGATAAACTCGATAGCAGTAGTAGACACCTTTTATTATGTATAAAACCACCCTAAATTCTCATTAGTTCCATTCAAAATATTGATGTGCTAAATCACCATATTACGTATGACATTTACATTGAAATACTTAAGATGACATTTAAATTTCAAATACCTAACAAAACTAATATTTAATAAAAAATGTTTTACTAATATTTAATCACGGTGTCTGATATTGACACGGTCGCTATAAAATGTTAGTTAACAAACTACTTGAGATAGTCAGATCATACAACTTTTTGCGGCAGCAAAACTGCTTTGCGACTTAAGAGACTTGGGTTTATTATGTTTTTTTATGAAATCTCAATTCTTTTTGTAGGCAAACAGTATTCACATACCTATGTTGTATCTTTAGGTATAAGGTATATATTCTAAGCGAAAAATATTTGCGTTTCCTTCAAAATTAACTTTATAATCTCCTATCTATTGTTTATAACTACTAACTTACTTTTGAAAGCGTGCGAAAAAAATAAAGCACATAAAAGAAGAACTTTAAAAAGTTTAAGTTTGGAATCAGGTAGCCGCGTGTAAGATGTGTGAGATTAATATTTGTTAATAATCACCTCACACATAAAAAAACGGTTTTTGCAAGCGCACAGATTACCCGAGACTTCGTCCGCGTGGTAGTCGATATCAGACATCGTAGTAATTATACTAAAAGTTTGGAATCGATAAGGTAAAAAAATAGTTCATACAAACTTTTTCAGGGTAGTTTTATAAAATTAGTAAGAACGTTTTTTATTACTTTAGTATTTAGTACATTAAGAGTATTTACTGTGAGTTTGAAAACGCTACTACCAAAAATTACGAAGCTTCAAGTAAATTTACAACACCTATTTTGCACCCTTAGGGAAAATATTCAAAAAAATCCTTCGTCACCTAAGGAATATTTGTGGAAAATTTTATGCCTTTAGACCCAGCGGTTTAGCTGTGCGTTGATCGATCAGTCAGAGAATCAGACTGTCAGTTTCTTCTTTTAAAGATATATTTGTATATTATAACTATATAGGGGAGAGTAACCAATATTGAACCGGCGCTTAAATTGGACCACTTCTTTATTTCTACCAAAATGGCAACATTTTTTTACACTAGCAACACAAAAATTAGCGCCACTAATGCTCCGCCATTTTGTAGCGCTCCTTTTTGTGCCAATATACTACACCAAATAGTACCGGTTCAATATTGGTTACTCCCCCCTATTCAGGTTTTATACATTAAACACTAATTGTATTTAAAATATGAAACTTGTTTATTTTAGTAGTTACATGCGAGTCTTACACAACCACTGCAGCGTATAATTTTCACACAATGTAAAAGCATTTTTCTATAATTTTCAGTTTCATCCTGTGTATCCTGAAACATGAGGGCAAATCTCTGACCTGGAAGAATTTGATACCTTTTACGCTACCAGCATGGATGTACATGACAGGAGGCCTCTCACTGCCATGGACGATAGCAGTCTGGCTTACGACCATGGTAACGGGTAGTTTTATGTTCGTCATATACGGGCTAACAGCGGGCCATCATAGTCACAGGAACTTCTTTGAAGGAGACACTCCAAGGTACGAATTTGCAATATATTCGCTTTATTATGCTGTAAGGTGGCAAGCGAGCAGACAGGTCACCTGATGGTAACTACCGCCGCCCATGGACACCTGCAACTCACGAGTCACAAGTGCATTGCCGCCCTTTGAGTCCTTCCCCCTAGAGTCAACGGGCGGGGGGGGGGGTTGATATTACCTACGTACATTATGAAAAACGTGACCTTTTAATACAGGTGACCCGACCGTCGTTCATAAAAAAAAAAAAACAACTCTATCTACACAGAGGCTATAAAAACGTCCAGACTTTGCCTACATAATATAAGTCCAACTTGCGTAATATGGGACAGCCTATTACCGTCAACCGGACGCATATACGCATTTTAATGTGTTTAATTTCATCACAATAATTGATTTAAAAATAAATGAATAAATAAAAAATAAATAAATATATATATTTTTAACTAAACATACTTGATGTTTCTGTTCTTTAATTGTATTTTACATACATATTATATAAAAATTCCAGCCTTTCATCTACAATAATAATCTTTATTATGGCTAAATACAGGCTCTTAAAAAATTCTTGAGTTGTTTTACACATTAATTGGTACTCACTCTGGGGCTAAGGGCGCTCGAAGCGGTAATCTCGTCATATCCTCTCGTCATAACCATTATTTTTTTTACACTACAACTTGACTGTCTTAGAGGACTAACTAATCACCATCTTACAATAGTAACTTTATGATGATGATTAGTTACTAATTAAGACTAGATAGTTATCTAGTCCTAATTTGTAGTCGAAACCTATATAAAAATAATAGATACGAAAATACGTGATCACAACATCATAGGCTAGAACATGATAGGCTTATCGCAGTCAACTAATGGACATAGGCCTCTCCTATGTCACGCCACTTAGATCGGCTTCGAGAAAGAGATCTACCTGTATAATAATAATTTAATATCTTTAAGTTTTCAAAAGTTATTGTTATAGACTTAGGCGTACTTTCAAGGCCCTACAAGACAACTAAAACCTTTTTAAATGAAAGATAGGGCAATTGGAAGTTTTTATATATTACATACATAACATAATCTATAGGTATTTTATAATTATATATATAATAATATAATCAGTTATATAGAATTGTGTTGAAGGTTTCATAATGAATTAACCCATATACGACAGCCGTCCCCAAATAGGGCTACCACAAACAGTAACCACAATTACATAACATTTTTACTTTTTGGTCATTTTAATGTCAAATAGGTCATGTTTGTGAAGTTAATCACGTGTTATTAGACTAACTAGTAAATAAAACTACTTTAGAAAAAAAAATGGTATCTACAATGAAATAAAACATTGTTATACTGAAATAGTTGAACATTCATTAAATTAGGTACAGTTATATAGCGTCGTCCCCATTTGAGGACGTTGGGCACATCAAGGTAAAATTATTCGTTTATTATATGGACCTACCTGTCCTGTACCTGTACCTGTTTTCAACAAACGATGGCTAAAAAAGTATTCGACAGTCATAATGATTTCCTCGAGCTACACGAAGTACTTGGCGCTGTAATACTCGAAGAAGACGATGTAACATAGAAACACTTAGTAGCACTTCCTCCAGAACCAAGTGTCCTTACCGATAAAGAAGAAGCCGATGAAGACAATATACAAGGCATTGCTTTACCGTGAGACATACCAGGCAGAGTTGACATATTTACACAATGGGAAGAAGACCCTTGGGGCAGTAGTGATGATGAAACGCCTGCGGAAACAAAAAGGCGTAGTTCTAATAATAAGCTACCCTACATAAAACAGAACATGTATATGAGCTAATAGTTTCCATTGGTGGTAATGTGGATGGGCGTCTTGATAAATTGATAGAATAGAAAAGAAGAAAGAAAAATTGAAAAGAAATAGTGTTTCAAAACTTTATGCATTGACAAAGTATGTAAAAAAAATGTTTACATCTCATGATCCCAGTGGCCCCATTTGAGGACGGACGGAATATTCTACGAAGAAAAATTAATCATCTAGTTGTTTTTTCCTTATAACATAACTAGTTTCCACCAATTAATTTAAAAAAAACGATTGATTCCAATGCTAAGTTTTGTTTGGCCGTAAATGGGTTAAAGAGAAATCAACACTGACCAAATATTATAGCAAAATATAACACGTAATTTATACTACTTAAAAAGAGGTGATAAAAAATAAATATTAAAACATAAGATAAATAAAACTGAAGCATGTAGGTATACTTAACACACCATTAGATATAAAACAAAAAAAAAACGATTTACGACCTAAGTGTTGTGAACATGTGATGGTAAAATCCATGTTGCTATTTTTTTGTGGTAAGAAGTGTTAGTAATCAAATACATTTTTTTACTCACAGTCCAAAGACGTCAACCGATAAAGACAATTGATAAAAATATGATGATTAGTTCATTCTAACGCTACCACCAGCGGTCTGTAGTCCACCCGAGTAAATTTGTATGAATTGACAAGATTTTACCAATGGATAAAACCTGCGTTCAAACTTAACCAATAGCTATTCTGAGTCCTGGTGTTAAGTAAAGCTAAAGAATATAAGTTACATGCTATCTATACTTCCATAATATATTATAGAATTAAACCGCTGGACCAATTTAGATGAAATTTAGTTTAGGAGATTTTTTAAGTCCCAGGAAAGGATTTAGGACAGTTTTTATCCCAGTAATCATCCTTTAAGGTGATGGGGGTGAGGGGGTGAAAAGGGAGTGGAAGTATGGGAATTAGATGGATGAATAACCGATTTAGATGAAATTCGGTATGGAGATAGTTTGAGCTGTGCGGAAGAATATAGGCTACATTTACCGCGATAACCGACCTGCGATAATTAAGGGTAGCCCTTTGCATAAGTACAGTTTCAACTTACTGACATTTAACATTATATACATATATATATAAAAATGTAATGAAAAAATTTAAGCATTAAATTTCAATGAGTGCTTAATAAACTTAATAAAAAATTGGTTTAAACTATTGAAATTTAATATAAGACTATCAAATGTCTTTAAAGTGTTTTTCATTTCAGCTCTGGACCTCTTTATTCAAGTAATTTAAATATATTTTACTAAGACACAACTCTATTCTACAACATTTTTTTTTTGCGAATCTGACTAACATCAGTCACCTTAACACATATTAAAAATAGTCTAAGTAATTGAGTTCTCAAGATGTATTTAAAATTAATCATCTTAAAATTCATAAGTTTTGATGTATTCAGTGATTATTTTACTCAGTTTAAATAAAATTTAATTCAGGAGAATAGTGGAAGGTTTTATTGGTAGACAATACTCTTATCTAAATTATAAATAAGATAATTTTTTATCCTTTATATGTCAAATAGTTCCTTTGTCGGAAATGCACAAAATTACATGTATTTGCCATTACAGTGTTCTGTGATTATCAGTAAGTTTCTTGTGTTTTTTGCCAGCTAGTTAGAGAATAACTATTTTTTATTATCTAAGTCACATGACATAATTGTATGCTACTACACAACCTCGCCTGAAATTGGATTCTTGCGACTGGATCTCTGGATCTAACGAAGCACTATGAAGGTCGCAACTGAACTCTGCTCCTTGACAATCTGCTGTATATACTATCTCGGTCTTTAGATTACACGTTGTTTAAAATTACATAACATACAATATTTAAATGTTTCATGATCAACCATGAGTGAGAGTGTTTATGTGATGATATCGATGATACAGATGCGGACGTTTAATGACTTAGGGTTACAATGTTGTCCATAGGGCATTCAATGTTATTACGAAGAAGTATTTTATTAAAGTTTTACTAACGAGTACAAGTCTTATAAGTGTTACTTATTTACTGATGACTCACAACTACTTATAGTCCATTTTTTTCATGTAATAACATCTATCCTTGACCATGAGAGCGATGAAGTGTCTCAAAATATACTTAATAATGACAAACTATTTACCTCCAAATGTATATACAAGACAGAACGTGTTTCTTTTCTTACAAGTTTTTATTATCATTTAACTTGCGTGTTATTGTGAACCAAATCTTGAAACAGAATTTTGTTTATTAATGTGAAAGTCTCTTCCAACCAATTAAAATAAAATTATGAATGCTTTTATAACTTTAGAAGCAATGCAATAGTATACTAACTTTGAACATTCGTGTTCCATAATATATAATTATCTTTACGGGAATTAACGCACTCATGATAGGTATTTCAGATTTTCATTACATCAGTGGTTTACAGTACTGACTCATGGTATGGACAACAAGTCCAATAAATTATTACCAATACAGCTTGAAGTGTCACTAAGCTCTTTCACACTCATTTAAAAGCTGAACTGAAAGTGTCAACTAAAATTATCACATTGGAATAATGATTGAAGTTACCTTGAAACATTTGGTTTACCTCAAATTTTCTTAATTAAATACAGTTTACAGTACTACAGTTTCAGATACACACTGATAAGTTTCACACAGTTTAGATACTTAACTGTGTACCTCAAAAGTACAATGTTTTGCATATTTTTATTTTAAAATTAACTTAAGGTTAAAGTAGAGATATTATTATCAGGTACACCACATCTTCCGGAATTGGACAGTTCCTTAAATTAAAAAAAATACACTAGAGGCATAGCACCACCAGTCTGCTGTTGGTAAACCTCTATTGTGTCTCCTTCCTCCATCTCCAGTGATGTTGGCGTGTCATTCTCATTGATTGGCTGCCCGTCAAACTTGAATCGCACCACTTGCATTGATAAACCCGCTCTATCGCAATAAGCATTCATCAATTTTCTCAATGGAGTGTGTTTTTTGATTTTGAATTGCACAATGGCATTATAAGACCTAAGGCTTTCAAGTTGATGTGTTCCCATTTTCTCGTCAGACATTGTGAATTGGTTCAATAAAAAAGACTGTCAACACAGAATCAAAACACCGTTAAAATCTAAAGATTATAGGAACGGTAAACGCACTAGTACTAATAGTAGTAGTTGGTACTAACTACATACCATTGAATTGTCTGTCGTTTCGACCAGATAGCACTGGCCGTGGTCACAGTCTGACTGTTTAGGTACTTTAAGTATGTACTTATTTTGACATTATGCAATAGTATCATAGAATTGGTTTCATTTTGGATCCAATAGGTAATAATAACAACTCCTGAAAGATCTACTTTGTATTTGGATTCGTTCAATTCGTTTTCACGAGTTTTGTATATTTAGACTAGGTTTGACGCCTCTGTATTGATCGCCGAGTTGGTTTAAGAAACTTCTCTTTTACGTTATGTGCATCGAGTTTAATCTCATTGCATCTACTTGTTTTAACGATTACTATAGACTGATATGGCAGGATCTGATAGATAGATTTCTGATGTGATAATAATTAGCCCACTACCGCAAGCAACTACTTATGCATTCGACTTTATTTATATATATATGAACAGCAAATAATTTAAATACTCTAGGAATCTTGACTCTATTTAAATCAAAGATTTTTATAAATTATTCTTGAAGTTATCACGTAATCTTAACTAATAAACATACCTTTACGTTGCTAAAAAATATTTATCATGCAGGTCACTGTTAATTCTACTACTAATTTTTTATATACTTCATATGATTAATATAACTCTCCTGATTTTGTTGACTTTGCCTTTTAGCAAATCCTAATAAATATTAATGTTTATGTAAAATATTAATGTGTATTAAATATTAATAATTGGATAACAGGAAGGTGTACAGGATGTTTGTCGTATATGTTATCATGTGTCTGGTTACGTTCAGTTTTGTTATTTTTTTAAGTGTAGTTATATTATTTTAGCCATAATAGTTTAATTAAAGTCATAATTTATATGTACCATCAATGTTCATTTTACAGATTATATATTTTCTTTATGCAAAAGGGGGCAAACGCGCATACGGGTCAACTGATGGAAAGTGACTTCCGCCGTCCATGAACGACTCAAGAGTCACAAGCGCTTTGCCGGTCTTTAAGGAAGGAGTATGCTCTTTCCTTAAAGGGTTGAAGGTCGTATCGGTCCGGAAATACCCCAGCCGGTAACTTGTTCCACAGGTTGGTTGTGCGAGGCAAAAAATCTTGAAAATCGCACAGTGGTAGAGCGCCAATTATCCAGATAATGTGGATAAAATTTTTGCGGTGTGGAACAGTCAAGGTTAAAAAATGTAGATACAACCTATAAACATAAGAGCTATTTATTTTTTAACGAACATTTAAGTTGATCTTTTTTTTGTGACGGGGTGAAAAATTTCTTCAAATGTCTCTGTCGATTCCCGAAGAATGCCATGGCGGCAATGCAGGAGCTATGACGTGCATGCATTATAGCAAAAACTTTTTTTTCTACAGCTGTCATTGACTAACCTTCTTTTATTCCTACTTAATAAGTATCGTATTCTAGACATTGGCCGATACAGTATTACCGTACTCTGTAGGTCTAAAAAAAAAAGTTGTCTAAATTTTGGAAAAAGTAATAGTCGTTAGGTGCAATTTCTGGTGAGTATGGCGGATGAGGTAGAGCTTCTAACCTCAGCTCTTGCAGCTTGGAGACTGTCTGTTGCGCAGTATGGGGTCGCGCGTTGTCGTGAAGGAGCAGTGGGGACGACCGATTGACCAAAGCTGGTTGCTTGGTACTCACCAGACCTTGCACCTACCGACTATTACTTTTCCAAATTTAGACAACTTTTTAGTGGGTAAAAAATTCAATTCCTGAGAGGCAGTGCAAAATGCCTTTGAAGAGTTTGTTGCCTCCCGTCCAGCTGATTTTTACAAGAAGGGCATCAATAAACTGCCAATGCGTTGGCAAAGATGCGTCGATTGCATGGGTGATTACTTCGAATAACAGAAATAAAAAAGTTTGAAAAAATAAGTACTTTCACTTATTGCATACAAAACGGCAATTTCATAGGTAAAGACCTAATATTTCGAATCTTATCAGTATATGATTAAGAGTCCAGGGGGACTTAAATAAAATGGCAGTGGACTGTATTACTGGTAGTTCAATCGCCAGGTCTTTACACGTATATAAAATTTAAGAATAAAAAGATGAAATATTAAAAGGTCGGACCGTCCACGGTAATGTCCCAAGGCGAGCGACGGCTGTTGGATGTGTGTCCTCGTGATTCTCCGGGCTCAGTCCCCCACTCGCCGCACCGGTCAGGATAGTAGATGCCCGTTATAGTGCGTTTAGTTAAGTCGCGGTCGCAACAGTATATCTATATGGCATAATATTCAGCTCATCTCACTACGAAAATACCGTTTATGACAGTTGTGAGATCAAAAGTTAATCGGCACTGAATTGAAACCGAACTTTGCTTACGAAAATTAGCCTTCAGTATACACTCTTACATTTCTAAATATTTAATAAATAAAATACACCTCGACACAGAACAAATAATCGTAATTTTCACAAAAATTATTTGCCCTTAAACGAAACCTGAAAAACTGGAACAAAACTGACAACTATGCCAACAGGCTAGTCAAAGATTAATATTTATCTTTTTATTAAGGAGTTCTCCGACAGCGTAGTAGACATAAGTTACTTGGCAATCATATTGATGTTAGCGTATAGCGTGATTTATTATCTGTGGTCATCATTATAAGATCATCTTACTAAATAGTGTTTTTCGATATTAAATTCATAAGTTGACTGCACGGATGGCGTAGTGGTTTAAGCGGTCACCTCGCCGCTTCCTACTACGCCGAGTGTTATGGGTTCAAACCCCACATGGGACGACACTTTGTGTGATCCACAAGTTACTTTAAAAATTGCTACAGGTGTCTACAATTTAAGAATTCAATCGACTTCTCCAGGATTCCGTCATCAGATCTTGTTAAAATAATGTAACGAATCAGATAATTTTCGCTTTCATTCAAGAAAGAATTTTCGAATAGTGTATTATAAACCTCCTCTTTTTGAGGTCGGGTAATTAAGAAAGTTTTAATAACAGTGCCTCTACCTTTTACACCCCGTATATTTCACGTTTGTTTGAGTTAACAAACTGCACCTAAATCCTCGTAATTATAATAAAGTTTAACAGGCACCTTTCGTCTCACTAGATCTGTAAAATCAGTCAAGTAGACTGTTTTAGCTTAGAAAATGGTCTGGTTACTTTAACTTTTAATAAATTACTTACATTAGAAAAGTCTATAGGCTAATGTTTGTAAAGGTATATTCGTAGCTGTTTACAAAAGGCATTAATGTTTATTGCGTAAGGTAACATTTTCAGAATGTTAAAAGCGTTTCATAATAATGCTTAAGGAGTTAAACGTTCTATTATCACAGTTTCAAACAAGCATTATTCATTTTATTGCGTTTGAAAACCTATTTTTTGGAATAGGTTTATAAACAAGAATAATATTGCTCTGTAACGAGGCTGATACAAGAAAAAAACCCAAAATCATTTGTGTGGATCTTCAAAACCATTGCTTGTACAGTTTCGTTATTCATAAAGTGTAGGTTTTTAAATTACTAAACTGTAAATACACTTTAAAAGAGTATACATAGCATATTGTCTAAAGTACATTATTAGTGTATCGGCTAGTAGAAGTGAACTCTGCATTCGAGACCCTGAACATGGTGGCACTTAATAGGGGGGGGAGGGGCTAATTCCAGCACTTAGGAAAACGTCCGGACGCCAAGCTATCGTCGGCCTGCCATGTGGTGGAGGGCTAGTGCACTTATCAGGCACTTATCAAGGACCGATGACAATGCAATAATTAAAATAGTTTGTCCCATCATCCTGATCAAAACCTTCAGGATTAAAGGCTTTTTCCATACCTAAAAAAAACGGTCATCTCTTTTGCCTTACTTGTTACTTTTTTAATCTTAATAAAATAAAAACTATTAACAATGACAAAAAAATAAATTATAGTTTAAAAACTAAAATCACACGCCTAGCTAGCCGAACTAAAAAGTAGGAAATCATTAACTCGTAAATAATTTTTGCCTTCTTTTTAGTTCGGCTAGCTACAAAAGCGTATTTTTTTTAGTTCTATGATTTATTTCTGTATTGTTTTTGTACTCAGTATATACTGATACACATTTTCTTAAATAATAGGCCACATTAAAAATTACATATGAAATACAAATAACAACAAGTAACAAAGGACGCTAAACCAATCATAAATCAGGTGACCCGTGCAACTTCGCCTACGTCTCTCAAAAAAAACCTGTTTTTGCAATATTTTTTATTTATGCACGGCTCCTATTATTCGTAGCGTGATGTTATATAGTCTGTAGCCTTAATCAATTAATTTCTTTAAAATATTATCATAGATGACATTTTCACATCTTATGTTTATTTCAAAACTTAAAATGACTGTTTTCATTTTTCAGAAACCAGAATTTAGACTGGGGTATGCATCAACTGGATGTGGTCGTTGAAAGAAGTGATTACGCCGGTGACCACTTTAAAGCAATCACGCGGTTCGGAAACCACGCTCTTCATCACCTTTTCCCCACACTAGACCACGGAGAATTAAATTATTTGTACCCTATTCTTCTAGAGCACTGTGAAAAGTTTGAATCACAGCTCAAAACTAATACGTTTTACGAGGCTATTATAAACATGAGTAAGCAATTAGTGAGAAAACGTCCTCTTAACTTTAGTCAGAATAAGATTATAAAATAGATATATTTACGACAAAGCCTGAATTGCAAATAATAATGGCGTCTTTATTTTCTGCAATTTTGAAATTTTAAATTGTGCTATTTTGCATTTTGCGAATAAATTTACGAAATAGAATCAGCGATTATTATATCCAATACGGGGCTGAAATAAAGAAAATCGAAAGTGAAATAAAATCAAAGATAATGAACAGGAATGTTTATTAAAATGTTAGGGCGAAATTGTTTGCTCAATTTGTGTTTAATCCAATAAGCTTAAGAAACGAAAACGTAATTAAAACGAAAATAACGATAACAATATTTGACGAGGTCCTTTAGGACATCACAAATTACTTAATGGGGATAAGTAACTTATTATTACTTGTTCCGTCTATTACGTTGATATCTGAGAGTCAGTTCCTACAGAAGAAAGACGTACATTTACTTGTAGCGCGCAATTGGGGCTCATGATTGACCGTGTCACGTATCATGAATTACACTTTAGAATTTAAAATTATGTACTGTTTAGGTTATTAAGGTAAATTATATAAGTAGTTAGGTTATTATAATAAATTATATATTAATGTTTGTTGGAAAAAGGAAGTATTTATAAAATAGTAACACTAAACCTTAAACAAATTATATGCATTATAAAGTTCACTAAACTGTTATTCTACAGATATTACTCATCCAGAGTACTTAAGCTTTCTAAAATACTTGGTGTTGGAAGGTTAACAAAATTTTGTCGTTGCCTCAAAATAAAGTATTCCTCTCTCCACAATCTTGCGTGATTCAATTTGCGATAGAATATTTTAGTAAATTAAGGACATGGCTGTGGATCTAAATAAAAATTTAATTTTATGACCGTTTTTTCTTATCGATAGACTTAAAATCTTACTACAATACGTTATACTACTTAGCTTGTGTCGTACTAGCCATTGTTTAATACCTATATTGTTCTATGAGTTCGATGCTTTAGCGTTACAGAAAAATAATTAAACTTAATTTTGCTCGACTTGTTCTTCATACCAGGATTTCTTGTCGTTCGGGGCTTGCGGTTGATGGTTATTCCGTTTGACCAAACTGAGGCACGAAATAATATTTATTCAATTATCGCCAAACTGTCACTGCTCAAGTAATGTAAATTTTCTGTGTTAAATTTACTTTAAAATTAACACTCTGGAATTGTTTAGACGATCTGATTTTAGATTATAGTAATTCAGTTGTTAATCATTCAATAGACATAGCACCCTTTAGAGGCTTTTACAAGTTAGGTAACTAACTATTAAATTGCAGGGTCTCTGTAAACTATTCTGAATTACGAGCAAGACTGACGTAATTGGCCATGTCCGTATATAAGGGGTACAAACACAGCTGTTTATGTGCAGACACGGATTAGCGAAATGCAGCGGAATGTAACGTTGAAAAAGTGTGGAAGTTTAGTATTGTCTTGCTAATTACTTTCTGCATCTGCTTATGTTTTGTAGGTCGTGGAAATCAACGTCTAAATCCAGCTTTCTATAATTTTTACGATTCCCGTTATACCATCCGTAAATAAATACTTATATATTTTTTTATCCACTTAAACCACTATGTTTTCATTAAGTTTTCATTTCTTCGTGAATATACAGAGATAAGCCATTATAAAAGTTATTTAATATCCTTCAAACTCTAATTGTACCGAGCGTACCAAACCCTTACTGAAATTGTTAAACTCTGGGTTTTGTTGCATGATCGTGTTTCGGCGTCGGAATGCTTAAACTTCTGGATTAAACTGGTTTCTATTAAACAAGTTGTAGTCTATTGCATTGGTTCAATTTAACATATGGCATAATTGTATACTGAAAGCCTGTTTGCCCTCTGAATATCGATTACATATTGATACAATATTAGTGCTGTTATTAGTACATAACTACGACTGCTTCTTAACACAGTACTGTGCTGGCAATATTTTTGGAATATAATGTCTTCAGTAGAGATAAAATGAAAAGCTTTTAGGTTGGATTCTGGATACCAGATCTTAAGTACACAAATATCAAATCGACGACATATATTTCGTTGAACATCGCACATTCTCTGTTATTACAGGCGAATAAAAAATCACATTTCTATCTTAATACACAAATACTTGTAATTAAAGAAAAAACTGACCAAATCAAATTGTAGAATAATGATAATACTTATCCAACAAACGTAATTTTACAAATTTATTTATTCTATGAAGGGAACTACAAAATGGTAATAAAATAAGCCATGTGAGCTCACCGACTGCATTATCTCTTGCAATTTGTAGAAGCTAACGAACCAACGAGACTCAACATTTTGTAGCTTTGCCAAGCGCTTTAAAGAAAACCTAATACGCTAGTTAGGATTGAAAGGGTATGTGCTGCTTAAGTTCCTTTTGTAGCAAAATTAAGCAGCACATAGATCTGACTCTTTCTTTTTTCTTTGGACTAGCAAAATATTAACATAAATAAACTGAAAGAACTGTCTGAACTGAAGCCTGTAAAACCTAGCCAAAATGTTAAATAATTCATGGGTAGGTTTGCAGTACCTATTGATCGCGTTAGTTCCCGTATTAATAAAGAGGACTTTATAAGTTAAAATATGATAGATTTATCTTTTAGACTTGTTAACATTTTCACTAAACTCAGATTTTATATCGTAATAAAACTTTATTCTATGTTTTAAAGTTTATTGGTTAGAGATGTTTCGTGTCGCTCTTCAAAACAGATAAGTGGTACAAATTACTAAGCTCTTAAAAGCAGTAGAGTAATAACAACCCTTAACCCTTCAGTTACTGGTTCTTTTTACTTTCGATTTTATTTCTGGTTTTAATTTGTTCTAATGTAATGCAGCAGTGAACGACTATATAAATGAAATGAAATTAAGATTTGGCGAACTATTGCCAACAATAAATAATAATTAACAATGTAAAAAGACTCTTTGTAGACACTTTTTAAAGAAAATACCCGGATCTAGAGAGATTTTGGTTAAGTTGTTGTGTTCAATTTCATAGTTTTTATGTGAATAATATGATTTTATGGTCTTTGTTTTACCAACTTTTGAAACTGGGAATCAAATCTTGCTTGTTTTAGGTAGTAATACACATTAGGCATCACTAGGCTTACTTATAAACATATAGACGATGTTGTAACGACAAACAAGAGTAGATTATTATAACATACAACCCTAAGTGTCACCGCTGACATGTATATTTGTTAGACCTTGTCCCGACATAAACAAGATAGGTACAAGATAGCAAGAATCCCCAAACCCAATGTTATTTGTTAGCCTGTAATGATGCCGACCCACGAACATAAAGTCTCACTACAGGTGTCATTACAAATAATAAGAATAATGATAATTAACAATAAAATTGTTATGCTAACTTCATTGCGAATTTGAGTATCTGAAAATAATTGATATCCAAGTTATCCGAATTCTATAAAGCAGTATTATATAAGAGAGGGGTTTTTTTTACTGTCTAATAACACGTGTATGTAGAAAAATAAATTTTACGTATGTATATAAATAAATTCACCAGACACAATAATTATATTCCTGGCAGATCTTAAGGACGAGCATGCGGTCGCAGTGCCTTGCGGTGTGAGTACAAGTGTCTCACCAAGTCTCGGCTCGAAACCGCGACACCGCAGCCATGTGTGTCACCCTCTCTACATTTATTAGACCTAAATTAGTTCCCGTATAATGATTTCATTTTAATACGTGTTAGAAATATTGTAGTGTGTTTTGAATTTACTGTATAAAATGTTTAGGTGGCCGCTTATTTATATTTTAATCAGTGCAAATGCGGTCAGTGCGTATGTCGCGGGTATCGTGATGACCAAAGATGAAACCTACGCAGGACAACAGCACTGCAAAGAGAAAGAAAACTTGAGACAAACCCTATGCCAGCCCGCCTGGCTTGGTATAGGAGGCCAAAACCTCATTTCTAAGGAGAGACCTATGTCTAGCAATGGACTATTGAAGGCTGTTGAAAATGATGATGATGAATCGAAGGGGACTCACCCATTTCATGATAGAGAAAACTAGGTAGTTCAGATAAATAAATATTTTATAACCTTTAAACTAAATCTCTACGGTGTCAAGTATCAGTGAGTAAGGCTCTTGACACCGAGCAAGACGACAGTTTACTTCACTCCATGATCCACGAAACACAAGCGTAAGTACAAATCATTTTAGTGATTATAAATTAATCTGTCAGTTATTACTGTCTGTCACAACAATTTCTTATTAAGTCTGCTCTTTACAGCTTCCAAAGAATCTATTAGAGTTACAAATAATTTTAATTAAAAGAAATCGTTCTTTATAACATTATTGAGTAGCAGTGCTGCTGTAGACCTAGTAAATATACTAGGTCTAATAATAATAATAATAACTTCACTCATCTCACATCTCACGCACCTGTTCTATGGTAACCTGACTGCTGATATCATACTTATATATTCCTAAATACACACATATTATAGATAAATTATACCCAGGCACAGAATAAATGATCGTGTTCACCCTACAATTGTTTGTCCTGGTACGGAATCGAATCCACTACGTCTAGCTTAGCAGTCAGGGTAACTAACCACTAGACCAACAGGCAGGTTTTATTTGCGCATTACCATTGGCAGCATCATAAAGGCTCAATGTTGTTCTGTTAGATTATATTCTGTACAAAATCGTACAACTTATAAAGATATTGAAATCCTTTAACACACAAATCTTAATTTTCTACTCATTTTGAAACCAGAGTGACATTTTAACACGGTCTCTCCGTGTTGGGGATAAAAGACTCAACAAAGTTTTAAAGAAACATCCGTATAATTTATAGTTGAAGAAGAAATAAATAGACTACAATGCTTTCCTTTTAGAAGTTCGTTGGAGGACAAACACTGAATGGTACTTCGATACAAGTCGCAATACAAATTTGTTTCGGTGTCTCAGTTTTAGATTCTAAGCAAAAGTTTGATGAAAGTAACTTAATATTAAAAGTGTAATAAATTATATTCT